GCCCTCTTCGTGTTGATAAACAAGCTCTTTTCATCTCAAACGAGGAACAGCATGTTGCCGGAAGCTCAAAGATGCCAACTACAGTGATAGTACCTGTCGTACCGAGCTATGAAAGCATTACAACTGTACCACCAATGACATCAGTTACTTCAGTTCAATCGTACCAAGAATTCACTCAAACCAGTCAACATCGAGATATTCAACCGAGGCATTGCAGGAATCCAGGTATCACCGATAGACGTGGGAAAACTCAACTACATCCACTACCCCGAAAAGAAGCACCGTGAAAGAATCTTTTCATCTTCAAGCCTGAGGCTGACAAAGTGAATGAACTCAAAGAAGTTTTAGAAAACATGAAGGAAAAGTTTTCTAATGCATCCACTGCCTTATTCATGGTCAACACAAAAAGTTATGGATCAATTTAATGCTAGTAGATATATTGCAACAGAGGCTAAGTTGATAAAGGAAGGTCATTCAGCAAAAACCACAAAATATGGCACAGCCTTAAGTGATGAAACAAAATTGGCAGTCATTAATTTTTTTGAAGATGATAATATAAGCTGGGCAATGCCTTGTCAAAAAGATTATGTGTCTGTGCAGAAAGAAGGAAAACGACAAGCCATTCAAAAAAGATAACTAATGATGACTTTGAGAGAAGCTTATAAACGATTCAATGAAATTCACTGCAATGTAAAAATAGGATTCTCTTCATTTGCAAAACTCCGCTCTAAGCAATGTAAACTTTTAACTAGCTCTGGAACCCACAATGTTTGCGTGTGCACAACGCATGAAAACATCAATCTAATATCACACAGTTTGAAAAAAAACTTAACCATTTAAATGATGTAAAAACGTTTACTGACAGCCTACTTTTTGGAAAACAAGACAATATATTGCTATCTACGGTGTTGTGAAGATTGTCCAGACTCTTCCGCATTAGAAAACATTTTATTAAAACAACTAGAGGAAAAATGCATTGATCAGCTTTCATTTGAACAGTGGGTTACCACGGATAGATGTGATTTAGAAACTATTTTAAAGCCTGCAGACGAGTTTGTTTCATTTTTCTGCTTAAAATTGACAAGTTTGATACCACATGATTTCATAAAAACACAGCAATCTAATTTTTTGAAAACTACACGAAATAATTAGCAAGAAGGTGAATTTTTAGTTACTTGCGATTTTTCCGAAAACTACAGCTTTGTGTTACAGGATGAAGTTCAGTCTCATCACTGGAATGTCCAACAAGCTACCATTCATCCATTTGAAATATATTTTAGAGAAAAGATGCAAGTTAAACATTTAAGTTTTATTATAATTTCTGAAGAGTTAAGGCATGACTCAGTGGCTGTTAACTTATTTATTTCTAAAATGATAAGTTTTTTACGCATTAACCAAAGTAAAAATATCAACAAGATTTATTTTATGTCCGATGGAGCCGCGTCACAGTACAAGAACCAGAAAAATTTTGGTAGCCTTTGTAAATTTAAATCAAAGTATGGAATTGAAGCCGAATGGCATTTCTTTGCAACATCACATGGGAAAGGTCCTTGTGACGTTATTGGAGGTACAATAAAACGCATGGCTACTAGAGCAAGTTTGGCCAAAGAACATGTACATGCAATAAAAAATGCAAGAGAGCTTTATAATTGGGCAAATAATCGAAAAGAAGAAGAATTAACAAAATTATCATTTAGTTTTGCCACAACAGAGGAATACGAAAGTATGGCTTCACACCTCAACGAGCAATATAATAATGCAAACATAATTCAAGGAACTCAAAAGTTTCATTCTTTCATTCATGTTTCAGAAAATAAAATTAAAGCCAAACGTTACACAAACTGTAATGATAATGATGCCAAAATTTTCGATGTATGTAAGAAGTGATGTAAATAAAAATAGAAAGTAAGTGTATTACAATGAAAATAAATTATGTATCATCTGTCCATAAGGTTTCCGAATAAAAAAAAAGTAAAAAAGAGCAGAAAAATGTATTTTGTGGATTTAAGTTGAAATTTGAAAATAAAAAAGTAGTCGGGATTCGCTATTACAAATTGTAATAGTGAACCCCGACTACGTTTCCAATAGGGCTTATAAAATAAACAATTTAATACATTGCAAAAACGGCTTGCTTGAACGGTCTTCGGGAAAGTTGTGCAAAATTAAAATGCGATTCTTGAAAAAATATACACGGTTAAAAAACACGGAAAATGTAAAAATCGTGAAATTCGCATTAACTTTAATAATAAATATAATTTTTTACAATGTATATTTTTTACACAATTGCCAAAATAATATCAATTGAACAAAGCGTTTCGGCAATATATATTTTTAAACTCATTAGTACTATTTTTACACAGGCCCTTTTCAAAAAGTAGTCGTGATTCAATATGAAAAACTGAGAGCACAAAATGGCGCCTTTACTAAAAAGAAACCACTGTGCAAAGTTTCAGCGTAATTGGAAATGCCCTAGTAGGTAGCTTGTCACATATCGGTTGTAGAAACTTAAATAAAAGAAATAAATAAATAAAAAAAAAAAAATAAATAAATAAATAAATAAATAAACAAATAAATAAATAAATAAATAAATAAATAAATAAATAAATAAATAAATAAATAAATAAATAAATAAATAAATAAATAAATAAATAAATAAATAAATAAATAAATAAATAAATAAATAAATAAATAAATAAATAAATAAATAAATAAATAAATAAATAAATAAATAAATAAATAAATAAATAAATAAATAAATAAATAAATAAATAAATAAATAAATAAATAAATAAATAAATAAATAAATAAATAAATAAATAAATAAATAAATAAATAAATAAATAAATAAATAAATAAATAAATAAATAAATAAATAAATAAATAAATAAATAAATAAATAAATAAATAAATAAATAAATAAATAAATAAATAAATAAATAAATAAATAAATAAATAAATAAATAAATAAATAAATAAATAAATAAATAAATATATAAATAAATAAATAAATAAATGAATAAACAAATAAATAAATAAATAAATAAATAAATAAATCAATAAATAAATAAATAAATATATAAATAAATAAATAAATAAATACATAAATAAATAAATAAACAAATAAATAAATAAATAAATGAATCAATAAATAAATAAATAAATAAATAAAAAAATAAATAAATAAATAAATAAATAAATAAATAAATAAATTAATTAATTAATTAATTAATTAATAAATAAAAAACGGCCTCAAGGAACAACAGAAAATCCGGATCGACCGTAAACGTAGTCAAATCATTAAAGTTGTCCTTGAACCTTACGTTTTTTTTTCAATAATGCTTAAAACTAGAGATCGATGGAATAAATATATAAGTATTTATTGGCCATAACTTGGTTCTCCAGAAAATCCGGATCATTTGTATCATGTTGACGAGATAACCGCAGTTTTTTTTTTTTTTTGCTTTATATTCGGAATAAGCAGTGCTGTTAATTTTCATTTAATTCGATTGAAGATGAACCAATACAACCATTAAATCAACTCTGTGAAAACGAATTCTCACATGACCACAATTTGAAGACCTCCTTACTCATTCGAAACTCATCGTCACTGTCAATTGAGACACTCACTATCATTTGATATACGACAGTGGAGTATGGAAGAAACCCAGCAAAATGGTCCCGAACAGACAAGTCGACCCGATGTCGGATCAATGTAAGGCAAATTTAAGGTTGATGTCGACCCAATGTCGTGTTGTGGTTGCGTCAATTTTGGGTTTATGTCGGGTCAATGTCGGGTGAACATCAGGTTGATGTTTTGAAGATGTCAGGTTGGTGTCGTATTGGCTTAGCTTTTTCGCAGTAATGTCGACCAGAGCTCCGTTTATTTGTAGGTTACACTCAATTGAATGATATCAAGCGTTTTTCAAATGAGAATGATCCACGCCTTTGTCAAATGATTAAGCAACTTATATCACCCATTCGAACGAGGTCCCCATTTTTAGCGTACAGCGGCTTTTCTCATTTTCATCAAAAATGTTTAATTGATTTTGAGAATTTACAGCACTGATAAGGAGATCATAGCTTTTTTACCATGGACATATGGTTATTTCACAAGTCACGTGGTCCATTCCGGATTAAAGGTACAATTGCATGTAAATATTCCTGAAACCTCATGATCAGGGGTTGAAACAGTTGACGTTTTTTACTACACTCGCTTCGTTGTCGTGCGCGACAGTCTGTTTGTATTCGAACACTCATGCTCTACCGTCGTCCCTCTCACACAACACGAGTGGTAGAATAACATTCGAGCTAAAAGAAAATTATCAAAATAGCTATCATATGACATGTGTGATTTCGTTGTAATTCCTCAATTTGGTGTAAATCGAACCATTTTTGATCAGAAATATTATTACTAGGACATCATTACTTGCTATTTTCAGAATTCACACAAGCACACCATCAGCAGCTCTTATTATGAGAAAAAAACAAAATACATACATTCGTGACGGTTTTCGGCGACAGTGTCGTATGACAGAGCCTGTCATACGACATTTTAGTTTGGTACTGTACTATGATAGCTTGTTTTGCAAGTGTCGGAGGCAAAGGCAGTCAATTATCACAGAAAATGTGTCAACTACCGTGACCGCTTACAAGACTGCTCATGATGAATCAATTTTGTCCTGATTTGACTTGGTTTGCACTGGGCATATTTACCATCGTACTATTTTATACTCGTCAACACAGTTCAAAGATGATTATGATTTTCCGGTACAGTCTTGCGCCAACTTGGTTCAGTGTATGAAAATAGAGAGCAAAATTAATTAAACATATTTTTTTAATACCGAATTGACAAACTTTGTTTATAATATGAAATTTCATATTTAATATAGGTGCTGATTTTAATGCTTTACTGACTATATAATAGATGATATTTTTCTTGCATCTCTTGTATTCCCAATAAACTGATCAAATCCATTTTTATTTATTTATTTATTACAAAGGTCACTCAATAATTGTGAAGATTCAACAGATTGGTAATCGGAATATTAATATAAGATCATCGTTACTGCAACCAGGATTTTTAATCATAATTGAGATAACTAAGATCACGTAAAAATGCCTTATTCATTGTTGAATACTGGAAGTGACGAACCAACATTTCCTAACCTAACTGGAGTTAATGTTAATTCCTCCTCTTTACCAATTGATATGCAATTCAATGATGGGCACAGACTGCAGATAGCTGTTTACAGGTACTAGGAACTCGTTTAAATGTGATATCCCAATAACATAACATATTTGTTTTTTTTTAGTGTACTGATGATCATTTCGGCTATAGGAAATATAACGGTACTGGCACTACTTATAAAACGGCGGCTCAAATCACATTCTCGGATAGATATGATGTTAACTCATTTAGCTATTGCCGATTTGTTGGTAAGCACCGCTGCTCAAAAGCTAAACATAAATTTAAAGGAGCTACTAAACGACAACTGTTAAAGCACATGTCATTTCAACCATTAACTCATGAAATCAGTAAAGATATCCTCGACATCACCCATCAATCAAATGAAAATCCTTTCAATGTCACTTTGTTTATTCCTTTTTCCAGAGTCCTTTTCTGTTATTCAAATGTAACGTGGTATTCACTTTCCATTCTCTCAAATCGCCAATAGGTGACATTCCTAATGATGCCATTGGAGATTGCGTGGGCGTTTACTGTATATTGGACGGCGGGAGATATAATGTGTCGTTTGATGGCTTTCTTCCGCACATTTGGATTGCATTTATCAAGCTTCGTGCTCGTCTGCATATCTGTAGATAGGTAAATAGATTAATCGAAGCTATTATGTGATATAAGATATTTTCTTTCTTGGTACAGGTATTACGCAGTGTTACAACCGCTTAAACTTTCAAAACGCAGGGGGAAAATAATGATATCTATTGCTTGGTCAATGTCCGTGCTATGCAGTGCTCCACAGGTAATCAAAACTAAATCAATAACGTGAACAGTGTTGATACGCAAAGGCCATTAACTGCGGCATTGATTAAATAACTGACCCAGTCAAAAAACTTGATGTGTTTATTTAAAAACAAGCTGTATAAAATTTACCGTTAACTCTCAATACCATATTTATTTCTACACCCAACCGTGGGATGTAAGATTCGCTTACAATTATGTGGGATTCTTCATCAGAGGATGATAGTGGAGACCGCATGAACCGAGGATGCGATATACCGCCCGAAAAAGAATTATAATAAAACAACGAAGTTACAATGATTTTTACTGTTGAATTTCGAGTACATTAAAATTTATTGTTAAATTATTGTAAGGGAGAAAAAATAAATTTCGATTTTAAACGATACAATGCTCAAACAGTGAAAATAAGTTTGATGAGATCAAATTTGTTCGCTTTTTTATTGCTAAGATGCTTAACAACTCTCCCTTTTACTGTTAATTTATCAAATACCATGATTTTCCTTGTTGTGAACCATGAATTTTGTTGTGAGCAGCGTTCTGAATAATAAATGAATAGTTCTCAGCGAAATCGCAAATTACAATTAATTCATCTTCTTTTAGAGAATCTTTTTTGTTCCTTAGACTGTTCGTTACAAATAAAGTCATGAGTGATTAACATACCAATTTTATCTACGAAGTACGTGGCAAACTCATCTGCAGGTTTCATAATGTTCTCCAAGTTACAAAGATCCGTTGTTAGCCACTGTTGAAAAATTACATCTTCTTTACCACTTTCTTTTAATAGTGCAAGCGCGGTTTTTTGAATGTATATCTATTGTGCTGAACCAATGCACGGCATGACTCACAAATGCGCATGTGTTCATTCAGTTGGTGAGTATATCCCATAGATTGCATTTTTTGAATTAATGCTGGTGTTAAGTAACGTAGTTTGTTTCGGTTGCACTTGGGATTTGAAATACCAGCACTGCATTAAAAAACACTTAAAGCATCCATGAGAATAACTGTCACTGTTTCTACACTACATTGAATAGGGTCGTATATACATCATCACTTAAATAGCAAATAATGTATACCTACAGACAGGCTTGTGGTCGTACCTACATCGTACCTTTTTTGTACCTACATCTTAAACGGGAAATAATATATATTTTCTAGGTACATTTTGTGACATTAAAACTGGTTTTTTCACTCGTTAAAAATATCTTGTTTGCAATTTATGTGATTTGATATATCGACACCCATATTTACCATAACATGTTCCGTACATATCTCGGAAACTAGTTGACCCTTCCTTAATATTCAAAAGCTTTATAAAAAATCATTTTACATTTCATTTGGAGTTTAACTCAATCTTATTTATTTTTAAATTTGTCGTTCCCACCCCGAAAAAAATCATAGATTTTATTCAGTGCGAACACGAAAAAAATTTGTTGAATAACTTTTTCCTTTAAAAGTACCCATCTTGGGATGTATGAACGAGTTGTAATTAATGGTATGTCTATCTTTAAGAAAAGTTTCAGATTTAAAAAAAATGGTGTAATTGAGAAATCCCATTTTTATGTTTCAATTATTTTTTCAGTGTAGGAAAAGACTTTAATTTGATTTTATATTTTCTTACAAAAGCTCATTTATTTCTCTATAAATCATCCTTTGGCAACATTTTTGTAGGACTTGACATTATTGAGTTATATTTTTTTGAAGAAAATGATGACAAAAAAGTTCTGCCCTTTCCAGATGTTGGTCTAGATTTTGTAAAGAAAATAAGTATGCAAAGTTGCTTAAGTAGACGAAATCTATACGCTTACAAAGTTTCATTGACATCATCATTGTCGAGTTAGCGTGAAATTTGTTAATATTGTGATACAGATATCTGTCTATTTTTAGATAATATCCAGATTTTCCAAATGAAAAATACTTTATATAATTTTTGATGTATTCATTTCGATAAATAATAATTTCTTCCTTTTGAGCAGCTTGAATTCACTATTTTAGCATCAAATCCAAATCACCAAATTAAATATGATTGTATTATCTTCAATAATTTTGACGGTAGGGTAGAGCGCTACTTCGTCGTAATCGCCCATTTCCGTACTATCGATCAGAAAAGATCAATAATATCAATGATTTCACCACAGACAAACAGACGTAACTCTTCATTGTGTATCTTCGTTCACGCATATAACGGTTGATTTGAATATTATCTGTTCCGCGAACTACTCGCCGCAGCGCTGGCATCGGATCACTTTGACGTTTCTATACATACTATAAAATTTTTATGCAATATTGTTTGCGAGTTAGCGAGCAAGCTTGTTTTCCGCGAGAAGCCTGAAAGATGTCGCTACTGAGGTCCTATGTTTTGAGATACTATGTTTTCAAGAAAAACTTTTTCAAAGAGTTACGTCTGTTTGTCTGTGATTTCACCGTGCACAAATCAATAATAGGTTTGTTCCGATGCGTTAGTTCATTAGCTACAACATTAATCCTGTTAGAGCGCATTGTATGAATATTTACGCTCATTGTTCTCAAAACAAAAGAACCGCTCCTAGCGAATCCAATTTTTCTAGGTTTATCCATAGGACGAAGAAAATCTAATGGCGTTTCAATGCGTTAGGACGGAATTGAAACTCGTAGAATGAATTTAGAATCAAGAAGCAGTGTTAGATTTTAGACAATATCTCAACAATTTGTGACTCTTTATCAAATTCAACGGTACGTATGGAAAGGTGAATAAATTTGCAAGTCATTTTTGATAAAAAATATTACATTTTTTTGTTTAAACTCGTTCAGAAAAGAGAGGTAAAGCGCGGGTTGTGCTTAGTAGGACAGAAATTAGATCTAAAACCTTACTGCTGATGTTCAGATCTCTCGTTGGAAGCAATAATAGTTTTTTTTTGGGTATCAAGCTGGAGCTACGTGACATCTTAGTTTTCAAGACTTGACCCATTTGAATAAATGTTGCTTCTATCTTTGGCAATACAGCAGAAGGACTAGCCTATGTTGGCAGCTTAAACACTGGATTCCGTATGTATTGTTTCAAGATAGTTATGAAAAAAATGCTGTGACGTGTGCGCGTAGATACATAGGCGTAGTAAACCGATAGAATAAGTAAATCCGTTTCGAACGAAATATCTAAATTATGTAAGTTACGAAAACCGCGCGAATTCCGAAAGCCGAACGAACCGAAGTGAGAAAAAAGGCTTATTATCATTGAAAGAGTGCCACCAAAATAAATGTAATAGCCTATGTTGGCAAGTTAATTAATTTTCGTTTCCTCCCTAGATATTCTACTTATTTTACTATTGAGCTTTGTTTCAATTTAGTTATTTTATAAATCATTTCAAAAGTTCGTGACCGTACCGAACGAATTCTAAACTAAATAAGCTCAAACAAACTTTTAGTAAGCTCTACCGTATTGCGAATCACTACTGCGTAAGCTCCGTAGACGTAGGTGTGTTGATTCTGACAGCCGCGAAAAGTTAAACATGCATCAATGCCACATAAGGAAAGATCGATTTTACAGTCACGTAGGGTTTAGTTCATAGATTAACATTGACTGCTGGTTGGAAATGCTAACATGAAGCTTTAGTGTGATGAATTTATTAGAATGATCTTTAGAAGAGGGTAGGTGGATAGTTCCGTTAGAGTACGGCAGTATGAAAATTGAATAGAAGTTGAAAATGAGCTAAGGGCCATTAATGCGACAGTTTTTAAAGTTAGACGCACATCTTTTGCCTAACCCGTACGATGTACGCGGAGACTTGAAGTATGTCTCCAAGTCTACAGATAAAAAATGTGCGTCCTTCTTTTGCTCATAAACTGACTGCGGCTGTGGAATAGTTCTAGCGACGTTTCACTATCTAAAGCCCCACGTTGCGAGAGCATTTCCAGTCGATGGTGTGTTATAATGCAATTCTTCTTTACCCAACTATTGTGTTGCTCCTCTCGTCATGACCAACTTGGTCATCTCAGAGAGAAGGCAGTAGGGTGGTTGTTGCGTGCTGTACCATTATCAGCATTGTTGACGGTTACTCCCGCCTTGAGTTGTTACATTCAAAGTGTTTTTATGTCACTTCATACGCGAAGTTAGCGATTTTCAGAGTTGGTTTTTTTTGCCTATAGACTTGGAGACATACTTCAAGTCTCCGCGTACATCGTACGGGTTAGACAAAAGATGTGCGTCTAACTTTAAAAACTGTCGTATTAATGGCCCTTTGCTCATTTTCAACTTCTATTCAATTTTCATAATGCCGTACTCTAACGGAACTATCCACCTACCCTCTTCTAAAGATTATTCTCTGGCTAATAAATTTATCACACTAAAGCTTCATGTTAGCATCGTCATCTGAGATATATTAAAATGAGCTGTTGTCCCTCTTACTGTTGCTGTTTTCAGTGCCAGCTGACTGGCTTGAATACGAAACACAACACATTGATGAATTTTAAATTGGTGTTTGCCGCATGGTATTCCAACACACTTGTGGCACAGTGGTTAGCAATCGTAGATCGAATACCGAATACACGGGTTCGAATCCAGGAAATTACTCTTCATTTTTTTATGTTGATGTTCATGTAGCTTGAAAGTTCTGTTGGAACTTTATTTGAACTTTATGGAACTTGAAGGTTTGGTTGGAACTTTATTTGAACTTTATGGAACTTGAAAGTGATTTTAATCGTTGACCGAACCGCAACCTAGGTAACACAGCGCGGACGATCCTCCCAAGAAGAAGAAGAAGAAGAAGAAGAAGAAGAAGAAGAACTACATTGACCCTAATGTGATTCAAGGCGGGGCGTATCCGACTTGGATTTCAAGTTGGAAAATTCCTCTTCGATCCTTGGAATTCATACAGCAATTTATTTAGAAGTCGAACAAAATCCAACTGGCCTTATTGGAATACATCATAGGAAACCAATTAGTTTCTAATAGTAATTCTTGTTCAAAGGCAACATTTAAAGGGATAAATCCAGTGAAAAATTGCCGCTTCAATGTATTTTAGCTACCTT